AAAGAAAGAAAGAAAGAAAGAAAGAAAGAAAGAAAGAAAGAAAGAAATGTATTTTTATCTACTATATTTCCTTTACTAAAGTCAAGTGCAGCTTCATTAAAAGTCTGGTCATTCTAATCCATTTTGGTAACTCCAAAAAAGACTGCTTGATTTGGCCTCATTGATAACAATTATTTGCTGAAATGTGATGTAAGTATAAAATTAATATAAATTATATTTACATTGAATTGCTATAAATGTCACACACACACACACACACATACACACACAAAATTTTTTTTAGTAATGATGTAAATTAAATCGTATGGAGTTGCTTTACAGGCCCTAAGCCTTTTACTCAGTCAAAGTGCAACCTCTGACTACGAAATGTTGGTAGTTATAGCTTTCCCCCACCTTTCATTCAGTCATGTTCAGTTCTCGTACCCAACAAGTAGTTTGCCATTGTTTCTTTCTTAGGATCGAGAGAAGGTGACTGACCCAAGGTTATCCAGGTGGACCTATTCAATTCTTTTTGTTAATAACACTATTTGTTTTTCTTTTTTGCCAGAGCAGGTCACAAATGAAATAAAATAAATTCTGTCAGGTCCCCACCTCCCTGATTTCTTGAATTCCTATAATTTCAGCTCCTAGGTTGGCTGGGAATTGTAAGAATTGAAATCCATATCTGAAGGTCACCATTTTGAGGAGCTGTAAGAATTTCACAGTTTATGAGCAATATATTTTTATTAAATATATTAAATTGAATCTGCACATCAACGTGCCTACCGTCCCTGTCCTATTGTTTCTCTTATTCTTTTATTTTTCTTATATGTAACCATTTCATGTATTCACAACTATGTATACATTTATACTTATTATCTTGTAAACAATTGGCAAATCAAATAAATAAATAAATAAAAAATAAATAAATATTAATCTGTTTATTATTCTATATTGCATTCAAAGCAGAGATGTAACATTAAATGTTGCAACCTTTGCCTCTTCCCCTTGAAAATGAAGGAATGAATGAATTCTTTATTGATCAAGTGTGATTAGACACACAAGGAATTTGTCTTGGTGTATATGCTCTCAGTGTACATAAAAAGAAAAGATACATTCATCAAGAATCATAAGGTATAAAACTTAATGATAGTCATAGGGTACAAATAAGCAATCAATGATTTTGATGTTGTCACTTGGGTCCAGAAAACCCCTTCTCCCATCTGGAATATAGACTAACATGTTGTTCTCCTCCTACAGCATTAAGCTTGTTCCTTGGTCAACATAATGTGCAGGATACCATTGCGGAGATAGAAGAAGAAAAGCGTTCACTTGCCTCAGTGAAAGCTGTGTCTGTATGGCAACTGCTCTCAGATCATTCTGTGCGATTTCAAGTACTGTCTGTAGTAGTGATCAACATGGGTATGCAGCTCTCTGGAATTGATGCGGTAAGAACAAATGTGCTAGGTCATAATCTTTGAGATTAGAGTGCAGTCACAATACTGTGGTGCTGCTAATCCTCTTTTTCCTTCTGTAACTTCAGGATCAAGTGAAGTGTGACCTGTCCCTCCTCTCTCCCTCTTTAAACTTTTTTTTCAGGTCCCTGTCTATTTTTACCAACTTCGTTGTGAGGACAGAAAAGCATAGAGCACTGACCACCAGAGAGATAGTTGAGAAGAGTTTGTTCAGCTCAAAGTCATTAATCCATTTAACATTGCCTGTTTCAAATAATTAGGAGTAATCATTCTCACAATAACTTTGTGTGCTAGAACAATTTTCTATTTCCGAAACTTCAATACAAAACAAAAATAGAGTGATGTTCCTGTACAAACTTTTAGTAAGTGCAGATAGGTCTCTTCTTCTGAAATTCAAATCATGAGGATTTGATACCCATGTAGCTTTTTAAGCAACCTTGTGGGAATGAGTTGGGATATTTTGAGAATGTTTTCCAATCTCCCAATTCTAATTAGCTTCCAAGCCTAGGCATTTAAGGTTGGCCAGTGTCCCAAACTGTTTTAATTAAGCCCCATTGATTTGTATTCAAAGATTGAAAATTCTATTTATGGTGTATAAGAACATAGGAGGCCAACAGAATCAGACTAAGAGATCATGTAGTTCAGCTCTATTTCCCACTATAGTAAGACTACCAAGTCCAGGTTGCATATATAACTATTTCCGGCCATCTAGTGGTCATCTGGAATTTTGTAATTCAGATATGTTCAGGAGTTTCATGTTGCATTCAGTGAGGAGATACTTTTCTTGTGAAGCTTCCTCATTTAGTTTCAGTAAATCTCCCTGAATTCTAATAATTGTATTTGTGAAAAGGAGATATATTGCTTTTTCCCTGTTCATATTTTCACAATGTGCTTACATCTTACTGTGCACTCCATAGCCCATCTTGGGTCTCAGTTAACAGATCCCAATATTGTAACAGTTCTTTGTAAGGGAAATATTCTGGTCTTTTAATGGTTACACCATTTCAGCTCCTTTACCACTTATTATCAGTATTTTATTAGGGAATGTAATCAGATATAAGTATTATATTGGGGAAGAAAACCATTGCTCAGTAACACAACGTATGCTTTGCGTGCAAAAAATCTAATGTTCACTTCCCAGGCTGTGCAAATTTGTATGATTCCTGCCTGAAAACCTGAAATGCTTGTGGAAGGCCGTATTAACAAAGCTGAATAGATGTATTGTTAAAACTGGCTGGACTTATACAATAGTTTCCTATTTCTGTTGAGCTGTTCGCAGGATGAACTTCCCAAGAGTTATGAAAACTAAATACAAATCAAACCAACACATACTTATGTCTTTGCTTCTTCATTGACAGATCTGGTTTTACACAAATGCTATATTTGAGCATGCTGGCATTCCTGATCCTGATATCCCTTACACTACCGTGGGCACTGGTGCCATTGAGGTTGTTGCTGGCTTAATAGGCGTAAGTGTGGGCAGTAAGGGGTAGAATGTCTCTCCCTAAAAATAATGATGTTTAGGTGATTTTTGGATTCATCCAGCCTTTATACCTGATGTCTTCCATATTTGTTTGGATTGCAATTCCCAGAGCTTTTAGCCAACTTGGGAAAGCTGGACAACTAGGGAAATAAACTTGGCTGAACAAAATAATATTAAGCTATGGGATTCTCGAAATACGTGAGCTGGAATATTTGAGAAACTTGGATGAGAACTCTAGTAATCCCAATATAAAAGCATGCCTGTTGTGGGAATTTGGTTTGTTTATTTTGCTAGAGCAGAGGTATCAATTACTGAAAATCCAAGCCCCAATATTATTATAATAGGGGAGTCTAATGTAACAGCTGCTAGTCCTTTGATTCCAGATTTCAGCCAAGCTGAGGCAACTTTTCCGCTGGGCCAGGAGGGCTGGCTGTGTTTGACCCACACCTCTCTCCCTCTTACACAGACCCATAGCTCTTCCATCCTCTGACTGTCTTTGCTGCCCATCAGCAATGCCTGCTTCTGGCAGGCTCATCACTCCATCAGCCTGATTGCTCCTGAGTGCCAACAAAAATGGCCCCCAATGGAGGCACTGAGGTTGGTTATAAAATTACAGGCATTTTTTCTGCTGTCAGCAGCCTCTCTGCTTTGGCTTCCTTCTGGCAGCTTCTTTTCTCCCAACTTGGCAATATAGACTCAGCATCTCAGGATATCTCCCTTTACTCTAGCATCCCTTCCCAATCGTGGGATAGTGCCAGAGGCCATTTCTAATTGTCTAGACGTTCGTTTCTTCCAGGGGTATATCTACAAATCCCTACCTCTCTGTCCCTTTCCATCAATTCTAATCAAATGGGCTCCCTCCTTTCCCCATCCTTTGCCCAGCTGCTTTTCAGCTTCATAGATCATACTTGGAAGAACTGTTTAGGCCAGGGGTGTCCAACCTTGGCAACTTTAAGACTTGTGGACTTCAACTCCCAGAATTCCTCAGCCAGC